ATACAAATTAATATATAGATATTTTTATAAAATTTTTATGTTCTTTGATTTAACTTAATCCACTCTTTAATTAGTGCGTTGAACTTTCTTTTTTCATATACACACATAATGTGTGTATATGTAATGGAAAGGCAAAAAAATCTGACACGTGCTAATTCAAGTACATAGAAATGGTAGAGTCATGCTTAACTGATGCAATCCTGACATTAAATGATGATATTTGTCAGTGAATGTATAGTTTTTAAATCCAGATTTAAAATTTGTTATCAGCGATAATCAGAGTTATTAATCTCCAGCTGCTATTCTTAAAAAAAATCCATAACGCCAGGAAAACCAACTGGAAGGTTGGCAAGAAAATATCAAAAGTAGAAAATTGCTTGATAAATATTTTTTTTTCGGAGCACCCTATGCACGTCAAATGCGCTTCAGATTAAAGACGACCTCTCGGGAAAAGTGGTCTCCGGTTTCAGCTCGATTGAGACCGTGCGAAAAGGCCACGAGAAAGCTATTAATCGCCCTCGACTCGATCGGGATCGTATAAATCGAACGTATCGCAAAAGAGAACTCGAGCTGAAGACCTGCCAAGGTCTTGGTGACGCAGAACAGAGCAGTCAGCAGAGTAGAACAGAGCCGGGTCGGACCGGGTCTGAGACACGCGCGAGCGCGCGCGCGCGCGCGCTGGTCGAAAATAATACCCACCCTCCGGCGACGAGATGTATCGCCGTGTCGCGATCCAACATCCTCCGCCGTGTGTCGCGAGGAGTGTAGATTCGTTGTCAATCTACGGTAGCATGCACTTTTGCGTGTTTCGATGAGACGAGACGGTGAGCAACCGGAGCCGTGGAACGAAACGAAACGAAACGAAACGAAATGAGACGAGATGGGACGAAACTAGGCGAGATGAAGCGAAGCGAGGCGAAACGCGCAATAAAGTCCGTACTACGTAACAACACCGGCTTCAAACGCTTCTCGCGCGATCACTGCGATCGCGGACAATTTAAGTCGCACTCTCTATCTCTCTCTCTTTCTCTTCTTTTTTCTCTTCCAGTGATACTGATAAGACGCAACGACACTCGACACACACCGCGACGTATGTGACGTATATGTACACTGTTTTTTTAACGTCGCGAAACGACAAACGACTCCGACTGAGACGACAACGTATCACGCACTATCGCTAGATTCCCCCAGATTCTCCGGCCACCCTGCTTACTCTCCTTCCTCTCCCCTCAATCTTCAAGTCGTTGAGTGAGCTCTCGGATGTGCGACGAATGTGAACGAAGGACTCCGATTCCGAGCGCATTTCGTATTTCAAGGACGAAAAGCAACGCAGTTGTTAAGGTACAGTCACAATAGAAGGAATAAGGAATTAGAAATAAGGAATAATGATTTCAATCTATCAGATATCGGATACACCGGAATACGGTTTTTGATAGGTTGGAATCTTTATTCCTTATTCCTTCTATTGTGGCCGCACCAATATTTATGCGACAAACGATTAGGAGTTTAGTGATAAATGATAAGTTTCTAGCGATTCGTCAGTTGGTATTTTGCACGCAAGGCGGGAAAGATGCATCGCAAGATTTTAGAGGAATTTTGATTTAAAGCCAGTATTTATAGCCTGTTCTTATTTTAAAACGGTCTTAAATGATGTTTTGTGATGCTAATACAGTTCTCGATTGGCTTATAACATCTTATATTAAGATTGTATTTAAGACTCAAATATAAAAATCTACTCAATACGAACTTTAAACTACAAGTGTAAATAAAAAATAAAAAATTTAATTTATGAAAATACAATACTAGATTGAAACTAGATTGAAAACTAATTTACACATGATAAATTAATTTAGATTTATATTAATTTTTGTTATGTAACTTTATTAAAATTAGTTTAGACTTTCGGCATAAATAAAGTCTATTTTTAGGATTTCAACTAAACATCGATTATTTAATTAATGACTAATTTATTTTATTAACACGAATATTTATTATTTCATTAACACAGAATTATCAGCTTTCTTTTTGGTAACTTGATAAATGAGAAAAAAGATTGGATTAGATTGGAATTAATTATATAGTCAAAAATTTTACTTTAAACAATTCTGTCGGTTAATGTCCGTTTCGTCCAATGATATAGATTAATCTTGACTTACTTTTTATTTGTTTTAATTCTTAAAAAAGAGTAGAAAAAGGTGAAGAGTAAGTTAAGAATAAGTTAAAGTTACTGAGAAATTAATCTGTGTTGTTAATCTTAATAAAAACGGGTTTTAATTAATTATAATTTAACCGAAGATTAAATTTAGTTAAGATTTTTAAAGCCGGGTAAGATTCGCGCGATACTCACTGCAATGCTTTTCAGGGATTTTTGACACGACAACTGAGAGTGGCATTCCTGCGACGAGATGACAGAACTGAACACTGAACTTACTGAACAGAACATCGTCCACAATAATGGCGACTATGGTGGAGGATCAGAATTCAGTTGATATCAACGAAGATAAAGATTTACCGTAAGTTTCGATATAGATAAATTGTAGCAATAAGTCTCGTTCGCGAGTTGCCGACAAATAATGAACACGATGATCTGTCGTGCCGTTACGGCACTCGATAGTGATTTAACCTAATTGTGCCATCCACTCGCATAACGTAGGGCGGTATTTTTTAACTGCCGCATCCTGCTTTTATCTTGTAGATTTGATCCGATCGTGCATAACTGGGTGGACATAACTCAAGAGTTCTTCGAGGCGATTACAGGTACTTAACTACCAAATCGTTACTTTGTCCCGAACCGGTCGTTTACCTGTCCTGCGCTCTCTCCTTTCCTCTAATTAATTTTGCTATGGCCTTGTGCTATGAATATTGAATCTATTTGTTTTTGGCTAGGCCGCTTTATGTTTTTCATATTTGAATAATTATTTGAAATAAGATGGAGAAAAAAGAAACAGAAATAAGTAAAACGATGAAATTAATGAGTAAGAAAGAAACTAAAAAAAAAGGAACAGATGTTAACCGCTCTTTAATATTATAATATAAATTTCCATTATTATTATTTATTGTTATATTAAAATATAAATATTAAAATATAAATTTCCATTATTATTATTTTTT